CAAGGAGGTTGGGGGCCCCTGTGCTTCTTGGGTTTGCTGCGAGCGAGAAGAAGTATATTTTAATTCTTTAGAAACTTAAACCTTTTAAAGCTATACACCAACTGCTTATAGGGTTTCTTGCAGGCTTTGTGTGTATTTCTTAGAGCCCCGGGGGGCCCCCTTGCCCAGACAGCATAGCGGCTGTTGTTGAGCCTATCCCAGAACCCCTAAACCCTAAACCCTAAACCCTAAACCCTAAACCCTAAACCCTAAATCCTAAGGGATGGGGGGGAATGGCGCCTCGGAATTGCGTGCCGGTCTTCTGCCACTTAGACCTGGTGAGCCTTCGTCTCTACGTTTCCAGCTCTAACCCCACCTCCGCACAGCTAGCTAGGTAGCTAGCTAGCTAGCTACCTAGCTAACTAGCTAATAGAGGAAGCAACAGCTAGCTAAGTAGCGGCTCGCTTGCTGCTGCCTTCAGGACTGTTTTTACTGCCAAGTGGAGCACCGCCGCCTTGGGATTCCCCGTCACCTGCCTCTGGCCGTTAGACAGGTGAGCCTTCAAACCCTAAACCCTAAACCCTCGTTTAGGGTTTGTTTGCTTTCATCTCTATTCAAGAGCGTTTTCTTACCTGGCCGCTGGGAGAGTAGTTCTCCCTCCCTCTCTCCCTTTGTTGCTGCTGCTGTTTCCAAGCATCTGCTGCCGCTGCTCTTCTTGCTGCTGTTGCTGCTGTTGCTGCTGCTGCTGTTGCTGCTGCTGCTGCTGTTTCAGTGGGACAGCCTCATAGCCGTGAATTACCCTGCCCGGGCAATGGGGGTAAAGAGGGGTCAGCGCGTGGAGACAGCTCGTTCCCTCTGCCCTTCAATACAACTTGTGCATGTACAAACTATCTCTTCGAGAGACAAAGGAGACAGAGTGCAGGTATACTCACGCCCCCAACCTCAGCTACCAGGGTTTAGGGTCTAGGGTTTAGGGTTTAGGGTTTAGGGTTGAGAGGCGCACGCTGTCCGCACCCTGACATCTCGAGTACTTTCTTTACGAAGAGATCTGCTGCTTGTGGAGGCTCAGCGGCGGTTTGAGGAAGTTAGGGTTTGGGGTTTAGGGTTTAGGAAGGAAGAGAGGGTTCAGGGTTTAGGGTTTAGGGTTTAGGGTTTAGGGTTTAGGGTTTATCCTGCGGATGCCGTGCAGCCGGACTGGAAGGCAGACAAAGTGACGCTGCAGCGCTACCGAGATGCTTCTGCTGAGGTGAGGGTTTGTGGTTTAGGGTTTAGGGTTTAGGGTTTTGGTGGAGGGAGTGGGGTATAGTAGCTACTATCTAGGGTTTAGGGTTTAGGGTTTAGGGTTTGTGTTTCAGGTGCTGTCGCTGTTATTGGACTACTGCCAACTAATAGAGAAGGCATCAGTCGATGAAGTGTATGCAGATCTAACCCCTCACGCTGCTGCCCTTGTCTTCTCTCTCTTAAATGAGGGGCCCCCCTCAGACGCAGAGGATGGGGAGGGGGCCCCCCGCCGCTCTCCTCCGGGGGGTCCCCCAGTACCTTCTCCTACCACTCAGGGGCCCCCGGGGGTTGCCCCCAGCGCTTCGCATCATATAGAGAGGGGGGCCCCTGAGGGGGCCCCTAAGGGGGCCCCTGAGGAAGCCCCTGTGGGGGCCCCAGTGGGGGCCCCTGAGGGCCCCCCAAGATGCATTCCTGAAGGAGTTCAAGGGGGGGCCCCCGAAGGGGCCCCTAAGGGGCCCCCTCAGCAGCCTCTTAAAGTTACACCTGGAGGCCCCCTTGAGGGGGCCCTTGAAGAAGGGCACTGTGGAGGGGGCCCCTCTGTCTCTAGTAGTTCGTCTGGCCGTCCTCTGTGTTCAGATGGGGGGCCCCCGCAAAGCGATGTTAATATTACTTCTGTCTCTCCTCAATGTAAGAATGAAGTAGAAGGGGGCCCCTCAGCTTCTTTTTTGAAGGGTACAGGAGGACTAGACTCAGGCGAGGGGGCCCCCCGGGGCCCCCAACCTTCTGATGCGTCTCCTCCTCCTGAAGGCTCTTCTTCAGGGCCCTCTCCTCCTGGAGGGGGCCCCCCTGGGGGCACCCAGGGGCCCTCAAAGTGTCCCTGTTGTGCGTTCACCTCTGAAGGCTCTGCTTGGTGCTGCTGCAGCGGGAGCCCCCGTGAGGGGGTGAGGGGCCCCCATGGGGGCCCCCACGGGGGCCCCCAGCCCCCCGGGGGTAGAAGGGGGGGCCCCTCTTCTTCGGGTTGTTTGTTTCCTGTGTTAGCAGACACCTCGGTGCTGCCTTCAATTGAGGAGCAGCAGAAGCTGCTGCCGATGCTGCGGAGGAGGCTGCTGCGCCGCTTTGGGCTTAGAGACCCGCAGGTGATGCATCAGACTGCTGCAGCAGCAAGAAGGAGGCCCCCACATAGTACGCCCATACCCAACAACCCCCAGCAGCAGCAGCAGCAGCAGCAGCAGCAGCAGCAACAGCAGACACAAGGAGCAGCCTCTATAGACCGCAGTACCCACGCTGCAGCAGCAGCATCAGGTCCTGAGGGGCCCCCCGCAGAGGGGCCCCCTACTTCATCGTCTCCTGTTCGTGATGCGGCTTCGGGTGCAGCAGCAAGGGGGGCCCCCCTTGCTGCTTCTCCTTATCGTCAGGGTATTGTTTCGGGGGCCCCATCTGTGGGGCCCCCAGGTAGGGGTGATGAAGCAGGGGGGGGGCCCCTCTCCTCCTCGTCTTCAGGGCCCCCTAATGTAGGCTGTACATACAGCGAAGTGCTGAAGGAAGACGACTGGACAGCGCAGAGCCTTTGGCTGGTTTGCGGCGCTGTCTTTGTCTCTTTTCTTCGTTGTCAAGTTAAAAAGAAACTACAATTTACAATGAGCGGGGCAATTGCCCACAATAAAGTGAGAGAAAGAAAGCTGAGCTGTACAGACAGCTTAATGCATTTATGCTGCACCTGCTGCACGCGCTGCTTGCGGCAGACTCTCCGCTCCTCCTCTTGCTGTCTCCTTTTGTCTTCGTCTGTCTCCTTTTGTCTCCTTTCGAAGCCCTTTGTCGATGTCTGCGTCGATCTGTCTCTGTATCTGTCTCCTTTTATATCTTTATCTGTCTCCTTATATATCTTTATCTGTCTCCTTTTATATCTTTATCTGTCTCCTTTTATATCTTTATCTGTCTCCTTTTGTCTTTGCTTTTTATTGCAGTTAGTTGTTTATGCTTCACAGATTTAATAATATGCATTTATTTTATTTTATTTTATTTATTTATTTTGCGTTCATTCACTTCATTATTTAATGTAAAGTGTATCTGAATATAATAAATATAATAAAATTAATAAATATAATAAAATAATAAAAACAATAAATATAATAAATATAATAAATATAATAAAATTAATAAATATAATAAATATAATAAAATTAATAAATATAATAAATATAATAAAAAATAATAAAAATAATAAATATAATAAAAAATAATAAAAATAATAAATATGATAAACATAATAAAAATAATAAAAATAATAAAAACAATAAATATAATAAATATAATAAAAACAATAAATATAATAAAAATAATAAATATAATAAATATAATAAATATAATAAATATAATAAATATACTAAATATAATAAATATAATAAATATAATAAATATAATAAATATAATAAATATAATAAATATAAATGAAGGCCCTAATAACAACAGAACAACAATAGGTGTTAAAGATATGTTTGTGTGTCTATACAGTTTCTGAGCAAAGTTTGTTCGTCTCATTTCAAGCCAAACCGACAAGTAATAATGCCGGCTATAAATGTTTCTTTATTTCTGTCGGGCTTTAATCTAAGAAAGCTGCCGGGTATGGGCGGTAAAAGAGGTTTATATATTTCGTCTCGCTTCCCAGGGCTGCCTTTTGTTTCTCAACTGCAACAACTCTCACTACAACAACTTACAGATAAACTAGGGCCTCATGAAGCACGCTTCTTATTTAATCTTATACGGTAATTTACTCCAAATGCTGCACACAACCGACGGTTTACGGTTTACGGTTTAGGGTTTAGGGTTTAGGGTTTAGGGTTTAGGGTTTAGGGTTTAGGGTTTAGGGTTTAGGTTTTAGGGTTTAGGGTTTAGGGTTTAGGGTTTAGGGTTTAGGGTTCAGGGTTTAGGGTTTAGGGTTTAGGGTTTAGGGTTTAGGGTTTAGGGTTTAGGGTTTCGTTTGCCGTTTGGGGTTTATTTAGGGTTTAGGGTTTAGGGTTTAGGGTTTAGGGTTTAGGGTTTAGGGTTTAGGGTTTAGGATTTGGGTTTTGGAAATATCCAACAGGGATGCAGGCATTGATTGACTTCGTCGTTTAGGGTTTAGGGTTTAGGGTTTAGGGTTTCATGCTTCGTGTCCCCACTACAGGTAACACCCTCATGCAAATCCCACGGCCTAGGGTTTAGGGTTTAGGGTTTAGGGTTTGCGGCGCAGGGGCTGCCCCGAAGGCAGCGACAGTGTGCAGACTAATGTACGGGTGAAGTCTATGCTGGCTTATAAGTCTCTTGAGGCCCCGGGGGCCCCCCCTGGGGGCCCCCTTCTCTTTAAGTGGTTGCATACGCTTAGCAAGGAGTTAGCAGAGAGAGCAGCAGAAGACTACAGGCGTTACTCTCGCGTTCCTAAAACTCTGAGTACATTCAAACCCTAAACCCTAAACACTAAACCCTTAACCCTAAACCCTTTCCTTTGTTGCGTCTGCGTTTGAGGCGGTCCTGCGAGCGTTTGACAGGCGGAAAGAAACCCAAGCCCCAAGTAGGCTTCAGGGTTTAGGGTTTAGGGTTTAGGGTTTATGCATGTGATGCAGCACTTCATTACTGTTCGGGGCCCCCAGCAAACCAGCGGTTTAGCCGCTCCTGTCAGGTGCCCTACAGCAGCAGCGGCGTTATGAGTGGGCCCCCACAGGAGCAGCAGCTGCTGCTGCTGGCGCTGCAGCAGCTAAAGCGTCTGCAGCAGGAGCAGCAAACAAGGGGGGCCCCCCTGCTTCCTTGTCTTAGAGTAGCTCTTGCTGTCGGAGACTTCATAGAGGCCCTTCCAGGGGCTGGGGGCCCCCAGGGACACCGCGGAGGCATTAAATCTATTGCGGGATTCTTCCCTCAAACAGCTAAGGCTGGGGGGCCCCCAGGGGCCCCTCAAAGGGTCTCCGCTGAAGGGGGGGGCCCCCCCCAGACTCCTATTGCGGGACGCTCAGGGGCCCCTGCTATCGAAGATAATGGGGGAAGGCCCCAAGACAGCTCAGGGGGCCCTAAGGGCCCTGAGGCCCCTGGGGGCCCTGGGGGCGCTGGGGCCCCTGGGGGCCCTGGGGGCCCTCAGACCCCTGAGGCCCCTGGGGGCCCTGGGGGCCCTCAGACCCCTGAGGCCCCTGGGGGCCCTAGGGGTCCTGAGATCCCTGAGGCCCCTGAAGGCCCTGGGGGCCCCAAGGGCCCTCAGGCCCCTGAAGGCCCTGGGGGCACCGGGGGCCCTGAGGCCCCTGGGGGCCCTGAAGAGCTTGGGGGCCCCCTACTTGAAGAGAAGGGCCCCCAGACAGGAGACCCCTCAAATGCGGGTTTAGAAGATTGCGTCTGTGAAGACAAAGTGGAGGGAATGAGAGAAGGGGCCCCCATGGACTGCATGAGAACGGAGGGGGGGCCCCCTGCGGGCCCCCCTGGGCTCCCTGGGGGCCCCCCCGAGTCCCCTGGGGGCCCCCCTGATTCCCCTGGGGGCCCTCCAGAGTCGCCTGGGGGGCCCCCTGGGGCCCCGGGGGGCCCCCTAAACCCCTTAGGAGATGGGTGTATTTGTGTCTCCTCGCAGGGAGAGCAGGGAGGAGACTCTGATGAAGATGTTGAGGTAGTGGAGGTAATTGATGTCTCTAATGATGCAGATTCACGTGTACGTACACCGCAAGAAAAGAGAGAAAGCGCTGCCCCTAAATACCGAAGAGAGCAGCAGCCACAACCCCACAGACAATATAGAGACGCAGCAGCAGCAGCAACAGCAGCAGCTGCAGCAAGACAACAGCGGCGGCAGCGCAGCAGCAGCAGCAGCAGCAGCAGCAGCAGCCAGAAGAGAGCGCCCTCTTCACAGCAAAGCGGGCAGCTTAAAATGGATAAGTTCTTGACAAAGAAACAAAGGGGACAAACCCTAAACCCTAAACCCTAAACCCTCATGCAGTTTTTTCTTAAGTCGTAGACCCTAACTCGAGCCCTCTTCCGGCTTCCCCCGGAAAGATATTCGGGTTTCATATGGGGGGTTTTGGGGGCACAATTAGGGTTTAGGGTTTAGGGTTTAGGGTTTGACAGGTGAGCTGCATAGCGAAAGTCAGCGCACGACGGCGGCTGCAGCAGGTACAGTGGTGACTAGGGTTTAGGGTTTAGGGTTTAGAGTTTAGGGCTTAGGGTTTAGGGTTTAGAGTTTAGGGCTTCGGGCCTAGGGTTTAGGGTTTAGGGCCCTTAAGGTCGGTGAGAGGGTTGTGGAGGCCCCGCAGAGGAGAGACGACAGACAGAAGGAGACAGATAAAAAAGAGACAAACAGAGAAAGGAGGCAATTATATATATATATATATATATATATACATGCATATATATATGTATATATATATACATATATGCATATATTTACATATACATATATATATTTATACATGTAAAATATGCACATGAAGATGTATATATGTATCTGTGCGAAAATCTATATGTATATATATATGTATAAATATCTATGGATAGACAGATAAATATTGATATCCATGCATGCATATAAAAGCATATCTCTGAGGTTTTACGTTTGTATGAAGGAGTAGTACTAAGGACAGATGCAGCAAAGGCAGGGCAAAGAAGTTAGCAGGGAGGGGCCTCTGTCTCTTTTATCGTATGAATATGGGTCTGAATTAATTTATATTGTTTGTGTAGACAAAGGATAAGAAGAAAAAGGCTGAAGAGACAGCTAACGAAGACAGCGAGCGATGCGGTGTACATACACCTCAGGGTGTACAGCAAAATCTTGAGTTGGTTTGCTTGTACATCGCTGTCTAAAGAGATAAATTTAAACACTTTAAAGCCCCAAGTTCAATCCAAACCCTAAACCCTAAACCCTAAACCCTAAACCCTCAGATGAGGTGAGCAGCATCGATATAGGCGTGAGGAGAGCTGTACAGTGGGAGGGCTGCAGTTTATGTTTTTAGGGTTTTCTTTGTGTTTTTTGAGGGTTTAAGGTGCAAATATTTCATAAATAAATAAATAAAAAGAATATAATAAATAAAACGAAGAAAAAGAGAAGAAAAGTAGGCATAAGACTCTCGAGATCGATGCAATACAGCGCTGCTGCGGCTGCTGCAGAGCGAGCTTGTTAACAGCTGTCTATAGACACTGATTTGTTTATATTTTTCTTCTTTTTGAGGTTTTGTTTCTATTTTTTACTTCCTAAAGATTATTATTTCAATATTTTACCCTAAATATCCTTTTTTTTGCGCCTTTCCCTCACAGCTTGTGCCGCTGACGACAGTCAGCGGTTGGCCTTACACTTGGTGAGCTGCCTATACACCCGAAACCCCGTAGATCTTAGCCCCTTTTTTTGCATCTTTTTCTTTATTTTTTAACTCTTTTATACACCATTTACAGCATGGAAGGTCTTAAAGACGCCGAGGCAGCGGCTTCTCAGTGCAACCCTAGCTGCAGCGCGGCTGCTCTCCTGCTGCTCCCGCCTAACAAGCATACAGAAACTGCTGCAGATCCCTCTACTGCTCCTTCATCTTCAGACGATGAAAAAACTGAAGATGAAGAGGCTTCACAACCTGCGGGAAAAGGTCATCATACACCTGAATTAGCTGCAACGCGACTCGACACCAGCAGCAGCAGCAGCAGCAGCAGCAGCAGCTGCAACAGCAGCAGCAGCAGTCTAGCAGGAGAAACGTATACAGCAGAAGAAGATTTCAATGCCTTCTGTGCCCCGGAGCTGCCATGCAGCTCGGCTTCTTTGGAGCCCTCAGATGCAGAGACACTTCAGGAGTCTCCGCAGCCGCTGAGCGACAGCAGCAGCAGCAGCAGCAACAGCAGCAGGCACAGCAGCAGAAACAGCAGCAATGGCGAGATGAAGGGTGACGATGCGTCCGCTGTTGCAGTTGTTGTAGCCAGAGAACCGCAGGAAGATGCAGCAGCAGCAGCAGCAACAGCAGCAGCAGCAGCAGCAGCAGAAGCTGAGGTGTATGTACACCCAACCTCAAGCGACTCAGCAGAACCAGACTCCGAGCCCCACCGTATGCTATCCTTTTCAGATAGCGGCTTCGATGTGTTGGATTGCAGCAACGAGGGCCCCTCTTCTTCTTCTGCTGCTGCTGCTGCTGCTGCTGCACCTGTTGCTCGCTTTGGGTCTGTTGACGTTGCTGGAACTGAAGAAGATGTTGTGGGGGCCCCTCTAGGGGGCCCCCTGGGGGCCCCCCATGTGGGTATGTTTAGCAGCAGCAGCAGCATCAGGGCCCTGAAGTCTTCTCAGGTTCAGGAGGAGACAGTAGTTCTGCCTAGCTGGGGGGCCCTCGTAAAGGAGACAGTTGAGGGGGGCCCCCGATTATCAGAGGGTTTAGTTTGTTATGATGGAGGCTTAGAGACCCACCGAGTGCTGTATAGAGCGCAGTTTGGCGTAGAAAGAAGAGATATAGGTGTTAGTAGCTTAGAGACAAGCGAGGTGTTGCCTTGCAATAAAGAAATTATCACAGAACCCAGCAACAGCAAACCCCTCAATAGACCTCAAAGAAGGCCCTATCCAGGGGCCCCCCTATCTCTTCAAGCAGGGGCCCCCAGCTGCGCTCTCCCAGAGCGGCTGCATCTCCTGCAGCAGCAGCAGCAGCAGCGGCAGCAGCAGCACCGGCAGGGGCGCGACACTCCAGAGGGTAACACAAGCAGCAGCAACAGCAGCAGCAGCAGCAGCAGCAAGGAGCAGCAGCAAATGCAGCCTGCATTCCCTAAGGGGCCCCAGCCAGTCCCTGCTGCCACCCCAAGGACACCGCGAGATACTGAGAAGGGCTGTCTCTTCTTTTGTGCTGCTACAGTTAAGCAGCAAGAGACAGGCTCTGGAGTATTGAGGGGGCCCCCCCTTGAAGAGACTCCATCAGCCAAAAGGGGGGGGACCCCAGGGGCCCCTGGTGCCCCTAAAGATGCACAGAAGCTGCAAGGAGGCCCTAAGGAGGGGCCCCCCTCCTCTGAGTGTGAGGGGGCCCCCTGCAGCAATAATGCTGCGCTGTGTGCGCCTGTCTCTCCTAGCAGAGACATACCTTTGGGGGCCCCTATTGATAAGACAGCTGGATATCATTTAGATGTTGTTGGGGTGTACGAACAGGAGGGAGAGGAGGAGACACCGAACAGAGGTGAAGGGTCTTCAGGCCTATCCCATACACCCTCAACGCCAAATAGAGACAGTTATAAAGCTCTCTTAAGGAGGGCCCCAGTCCCTCAAGACCCTATGAGGAGGCCTCGGGTGTCTCCTTTGCTGCAGGATATGGGGGGCCCCCGCAACTCAAGCTCCTGCTGCTCTCCCCCTGTTACTTTAGGGGGGCCCCCCTCCTGTAGCTCTTTAGAGGGGGCCCAGCAGCAGCAAGAAGGGCCTCAAACAAAGCAGGAGACAGAACAGCAGCAGCAAGAAGAGACAAGAGATAAAGATATAGAGGCAACTAAGCCCCCCTCGGCAGCAGAAGGCCCTCAGGAGGGGGCCCCCACTGCAACTGGGGGGCCCCCGTCCCCCACATTAAAGGCCTCCGTACCGTCTGGGGCCCCCCTAAAGAACGCTACACAAGAGGAGACAGACAATAAGGGGGTAGATGTGTCTCCTTCTGCTCTTGTGAAGCAAGATGAAGAAAAAAATAAAACAAATAGAGACGCCAGTCAAAGGCAGGCCCCCGCTGAGCGGGAGACCTGCAGGGACACCCCAGAAATAAGAGAGCAGCAGTTAGGGGAGGGGCCCCCCAAAGCAATTGAAGGAGAAGGGGCCCCTGAGGAGACAGCTAAGGAGACAGAAAAGCCCTCGCCTGAAAGCACACAGAAAGAGACAGAGGGGCCCCCAGAAGGTCTTGAACGGGGGCCCCAGGGGCCCCCAGAAGACACCAAACGAGGCCCTGGGGCCCCCGCTATTCAAACTCCTCTACCGGACTTCCCGCTGCATGCAGCAGACAAACAAAGCCCCATCGAGTGCGGCAGCAGCAGCAGAAGCAGCAGCAGCAACAGCGGGGGGCCTCCTCTTGGAGGCCTCAAAGAGGAGGCTTCGGTATCTCTTGTTGGCAGCAAGGAGCAGAAGCAGCAGCAGCAAAAGGAGCAGCAACAGCAGAAGCAGCAGCAGCAAATGGAGCAGCAACAGCAACAGCAGCAGCAACAAACGGAGCAGCAACAGCAGAAGCAGCAGCAGCAAAAGGAGCAGCAGCAGAAGAAGCAGCATGAAGAAGAACTGGAGCAGCAACAGCAGAAGCAGCCGCAGAAGCCGCAGCAGAAGCAGCATGAACAAGAAATGCAGCAGCAACAGCAACAGCAACAGCAACAACAGCAACAGCAGCGGCAACAGCAGCAGCAACAGCAGCAGCAGAACTCCAGCTTGGGAGACCCATACATGCGTTCAGGTGCTGTTGTTGCTGGAGAGAGCTGCAGCAAGATAGGGGGGGGCCCCTTGGGGCCCCCTTCTTCTTCTTCTTCGTATATGCCTCGGCAGGTCTTATCTTATGTAGAGCAGCAGCAACAGGGGAGACACTTTGCTGCAGAAAGGAGACACTTTGAGTCTGTTGATGGAGATAGTTTTCGCTGGGCGTCAGCTTCCGGTGTCTCCCTCAACACAGCAGGAGGAGGGGCCCTTCTAGGGGGGCCCCCAGACTCATTAGGAGTGTACAGCTCTCAAGTGCAGACACTAGAGGCCCCACACTTTACTACAACTTCTTCTTTGTCTCCTCGCAGAGACAGAGAGGGGGTCTCCTCAACTATAGGGGGGCCTCTAGAAGGCCTTCACTCTTGGGGGGCCCCCGGGGGGCCCCCTACCATTACACAGAGCAGCCTGGTGTTAGAAAGCCCCACAGCGTCGGCTTCAATCCACAGCAGCAACAGTCTGCTGCTGCAGCAGCAGCAGGAGAGTGCTGCTGCTGTGCTGCAGCAGCAGCCAGTCGTTATAAGAAATTATGCCGCGGGGTGTACGTACACCACACGCCATACTACTACAACGTACAGCAAAGCCTCAACATCTTACAGAACCCTCACGGCCCCTCATTCTCATGTTGCTGCTCCTTCAGAGGTACCCCATCTCCTGCTGCAGCAGCAGCAACAGCAGCAGCAGCAGCAGCAGCAGCAACAGCATATGGTGCACTTTGAGCCACCCCTTGGCTCTCCCCGCGGGTCTCTGCTGCTTCCAGGGGGGCCTCCTCAGATTGCTGCTGTTAGCTGCAGCGATCCCCATTACACTTGCGCAGCAACCAGAGCTCAGGGCCCCCCCTTGAAGGCCCCTCAGGGGGCCCCCCAGGGGGCCCCCCGGGTGGTCTTCCAGGGGGCCCCCCAAGGGGCCCCCCAAGTGGTCTTCCAGGGGGCCCCCAAGGGGACCTTTCACGGGGCCCCCCAGGTGGCCTTCCAAGTGGCCTTCCAGGAGGCCCCCCAGGGGGCCCCTCAGGGGGCCCCCCGTAGGAGGGCTTCTGTGGAGGCGTGGGTTGCTGCCCCTTTATCTGTAGGAGACAGGGGCTACTCAACCCCTAGAGGGACCCTCATGGGGGCCCCCCTTCCGCAGCATGATGTAATGCCTGTGGGCCCCTTCCTTTGCTGCGGGGATTCGGAGGGCCCCTTCAAGAAAAATACAAAGAAATCTAAACCTGCAGCAGCAGCAGCAGCAACAGCAACAGCAGCAGCAACAGCACAAGCACCAACAGCACCAGCAGCAACAGCAGCAACAGCAGCAACAGCAGCAGCAGCAAGTACTCCCAGGTTAAGGAGCACATCTGCTGTTCGCAAGAAGAAACTCTTTCTAGGTGGGGCCTCTCGCATATTTGGGGGGCATAAGAGTCAGGGCGGCCGCTCTGTAAGCAGGGGGGTGTCTCCGCAGACACCCCGATCAGCCCGGAAGCCATCAGCAGCAGCAGCAGCAGCAGCAGCAGCAGCGGCAGCAACAGCAGCAGCAGCAGCAACAACAACTAAAGCAGCAGCAGCAGAGCCTGTAACAATCCATAGGCCCCTACTCATTGCCCCTTTAAACTTAAATGAAGAGGGAGGCTTCCTCCCTGCTTCTCTACTCCAGCAGCAGCAGCAGCAGCAGCAGCACTGTCTCCCCGAGCAGCAGTTGCTGCCGCAGTCTTATCCCCTGCAGCAGCAACACTTCGTGCTGCAGCAGCAGCACCCTTCCCACGGGCCTTATCTGGTGCAGCAAGAGCCACACGTGCTGCAGCAGCAGCAGCAGCAGCAGCAGCAGCAGCAGCAGCCCTATGTGGTTCATCAAGTCCTCCCAGAGGTGGTGCAGCAACCTGCATACTACTTGAGTGCGGAGGAGGCTCAACAGCAGCAGCAGCAGCTTCTGCAGCAGCAGCATCTGCAGCAGCAGCATCTGCAGCAACAGCATCTGCAGCAACAGCATCTGCAGCAGCAACAGCAGGAGCTGGTGGTGGTGCTGCCGCCTCCTGAAGCTGCGGTTAACGATATTGTGTATCCTAATGTTAGTTCTCCTTTGGTGTTAAGCCCTGCAGGTGTCTCCTCTCTTCCTTTTTCTTCGGGTGTATGCACAGTATCTGGGGTGTCTCCGCAGGTGTATAGGGGGCCCCCAGAGCCTCTCTTTCTCTCTACCCCTCCCAACGAGGGCCCCTGCGTTATGAGGGAGGCCCTCACTCTTACAGGCAATGCTCTAAGGGTTGCAGGCGCTCGCCTAGCATCAGGTGTAGGGACGTTTATTAAAGAAGTGGGGACAGCAGTAGCTGAGGAGACACTTGGGCTCCTACGCAACGGTGTTGAGGTCCTGGAGCAGCAGCAGCCCCCACATCTGCAGCTCGAGCTGCAGCAGCAACTGCAGCAACTGCACCAGCAGCAGCAGCAGCAGAAGCAGCAGAAGCACCAATACAGAGCAGAGGGGGCCCCTCAGCTACTTGATGCCTCTGGGGGCCCCTCCCGAACCTCCTGGGTAGAGACTAAGGGGCCCCTACAACTAAAAGATGAGGGCCCCCTTGTTGAGGGGGCCCCTCCTCTTGAGGTGTCTCCTTCTGAGGCCCTTCAGTACCCAGCAGGGCCCCTGACGGAGACAGAGACAACGACAAGGATGAAGGCAAAGCCCAGCAGCAAAGGGGCCCCTGTAGGAGAGCAGCTAACAGAGAAGGGGGCCCCCCTCTGCTCTTTAAAGGAGAGGGCCCCCCAAGCTTCTCTTGTAGTAGTAAATCAGGTTGGAGGAGACACTGATCTCCTCATGGGTCCCCTTAATGATGAAGAAGAAGCAGCAGAAAGAAGAGCACAGGATAAAGATATAAGACAAAGAGAGGAGCCCGGCTGTCTCCTCAGGGGGGCCCCCACTGGTACTACTCCTACAAAGCAAACCCTCGCCTCTACACAGCAGAATTCAAAGGACCTTATCGGCAGTTGCTGGCAGCAGCAAGAGCAGCAGCAGCAGCAGCAAGTAGAGCAGCAGCTCGAGCTCGACCAGCAGCTAGAGCAGCAGCAGCAGCAGCAGCAGCAGCAACCTCGCCCTAGCCGGATGTCTGTCCCCTTGCCTGTGCTACCTCTGGGAGAGGCATTGGGGGGCCCCCAGGGGCCCCTAGAAGAAGAAAGGAGACAGGCTAGTGAAAGATTAGCAGCTCGCTGGAGGCCCTCTCCTAGGCTGCAGTATGCTGTGGGGGCCCCCTCAGAAGTAGGGGGCCCCCATTCAAGGGGCCCCCCCCCTTCAATGGGGCTATACCCTTCAATGGGGCCCCCGTTTATGGGGGGCCCCCCTTGTAGAGGCACGGAAGGGATGCTGTAACAAGTCAATCTCACGTGCATCACGAGCAGCAGCAGCAGCAGCAGCAATAGCAGCAGCAGCAGCAGCAGGAAAGTTTTAGCTTTAGATTGTGTGGGGTTTGCAAGGAGGGGCTTCTCTGCCCTGAGTTCACCCCACATAAACTGCATAGACGTTTACGTAGCTCCGTACGTATATATATATATATATATAATATATATATATACTTTTGTATATGTGTGTGAATATATGTATATATATATATATATATATATATATATATA